GGGTCTGGCCAGGATGGAGCTCTTCATCTTCTTCACCACCCTCCTGCAGCACTTCCGTTTCACTCCTCCACCGGGAATTTCAGAGGATGAATTGGATCTGACACCACATGCTTGCTTATCCATCAGCCCTTCACCCCACAAACTGTGTGCTGTCTCCTGTATGTGAGCAGTAGGTTTCTGTAAATTAGAGCCCATTAGCTTTTTCTCAATTTTTTATGTTGTGATTTTGTTATGTTTTTTTGAAAGATTTAATGAGAACAAACCTGGTTTAACATTTGTGGAATTTTTGGGCAATGTGACACTTTAATCTGTATTATTCAGAGTGTGCTAGAGCCACTCACTCATTGGAGGGTGAGTGAGTGAAGAAATTAGCAGACCCAGAGGGCTGACTTCAGTGCAAGCAGAATTTATTTTTTGCTGTACAATATATATCAGTGACGTGATAAAGAAACAACTAGGAAATGGAGGACCAGGTGCTGATCGGCTAGCAGAGACTAACAGATGAAGGATAGATATGATGAGATAGGCTGAGCTACGGATGCTAGGGTCACTCCCGGTCTGGCCCGTGGGTGGTATATGGACTCTGATGACTGTGTACCGACCTGGCTGGTGGAGGCTGGAAGGGTGGAGTGGAGTAATGGTCCAGAGGAAAATAGTCTGTGGAGGATGGTCAAGGAACAAGGCAGGGTAAACAGACTAAAAGAACAAAAACCAATGGTAACAAGACTATGAGAAGGAGTAGGAGAATGGCGCTGGTTGTTGGCCTGAAAACATGACAAAATGGCAAGGAAGTGGAAAGTGAATTGGGTATAAATAAGGTGAAAGACTGAGCGAAAACAGCTGGTGCCTGTTAGGGAAACGAGTGGCAGGTGTGCAAGGTGACGTGATCAGGGACCTGAAAAACAAAGAGAGGGAGGTGAGAGAGGCAGGTGCAACCAAGCAAACCTGACAGAGTGTGAAAGTGTTAATGATTTATATTACTTGAATCCACCAATAATAAAACTGAAGGAGATTAGTTAAATATATGATGTCTTAAAGCAACATCTGATCATCATGTGATGTCACACAAGCGTGTGTCTGCTTTAAAAACTGAATTTATGTCTGCTGCTGCTGCTCGATTCCGGAGCCGGGGGCGACCTTATGGACCCGGTCTTGGTGGAGCAACTAGGCCTTACCCCTGAGCTACTACCCCATGCCATAGAGACCCGGGCCATCGACAGCTGGCTGTTAGCCCACATCACTCATCAGACTCCACCTCTTCATCTCACCGTTGCCAGCAACCACCATGAGGACGTCTGGTTCAATATCTTCTCCATCCCGGATACACCACTAGTTTTGAGTCACTCCTGGCTGGTCCAACACAACCCCACTGTGGACTGGACCACTGGCACCATCACTCAATGGAGCCCCACCTGTGCATCTACCTGTCTCCTGGCTGGACAATCAACCACTCCATCTTCTTCTTCACCTCCAGAGCCGCCTGATCTGTCCTCCGTTTCCCCGGACTATCATGACTTGCAACAAGTGTTTAGCAAACAATTAGCCACTGACTCACTTCCTCCTCATAGTCCATATGACTGTGTCATCAACCTGTACCCGGGAGCCACCTTGCCCAACAGTCACCTCTTCCACTTCTCTAAACCCGAAAGACAGGCTCTGGAGGAGTATATTGAAACCACCCAATGTGCAGGCATGATCCGTCCTTCTTCCTCACCCCTGGGTGCAAAGTTCTTTTTTGTGGGGAAGAAGGACAGTGGCCTCCGTCCTTGCATTGATTACCGTGGTCTTAATGCCATTACTGTCAAAAACAAATACCCGTTACCTTTCCTCTCCTCTGCTTTTGAATCTCTCCAGGGCACGGCAGTCTTCACGAAGCTGGACCTCAGGAGTGCCTACCACCTTGTACATATCCAAGAGGGCGATGAGTGGAAGACTGCCTTCAAGACCTCGCTTGGGCACTTCGAATACCTGGTGATGCCTTTCGGCCTCACCAATGCCCCGGCGGTTTTCCAGGGGTTGATTAACGATATTCTCCGTGACTTCCTAGGCCGTTTTGTTTTTGTTTACTTAGATGATATTCTCATTTACTTTTCCTTCCTCACAGAGCACATCCAGCACGTTCGTCAAGTTCTTCTTCGACTCCTGGGCCCCAGGAAAACCCGCCTGTATGTAAAAGCTGAGAAGTGTGTCTTCCACTCCCCCTCTGTGCCATTCCTGGGGTTCATCATTGAACAGGGAAAACTCCACGCCGACCCATCCAAAATTTCTGTTGTCACCAATTGGCCCACTCCCACCTGTCTGAAGGACCTGCAACCCTTCCTGGGCTTTGCAAACTTCTACTGCCACTTTATTAAAAACTACAGCACAGTGCCTGCTCCCCTTACGCAGCTCACTTCCACCAAGGTGAAGTTTGCATGGTCCAGGACAGCGGAGCAGGCCTTCCAAGAACTCAAACACCAGTTCATCTCAGCCCCCGTACTCCTCCAACTTGACCCTTCATGACAGTTCGTGGTCGAGGTGGACACATCCGACACTGGGGTAGGAGCGGTCCTTTCTCAGCGGTCCAAGGAAGACCACGCCTTGCACCCCTGTGCTTATTTTTCCCGCCGGTTGACCCCGCCCGAATGCAACTATGATGTGGGTAACAAAGAACTGTTAGCCATGAAACTAGCCCTGGAAGAATGGTGCAACCTCCTCGAGGGTGCCGACCTACCATTTTTAGTCTGCACCGATCATAAGAACTTGGCCTACCTCCAGTCAGCCAAAAGACTGAACCCCCGACAAGCGAGGTGGGCCTTGTTCTTTGATCAGTTCTGGTTTACCCTTTCTTATTGGCCGTGGTCCTGAAATCTCAAGCCGGATGCCCTCTCCCGACAACACAACATCTTGGCCACAAACGAGACTCCCGAAACCATTCTGCCCGCCTCCTGTATGGTAGCCTCTGTTACGTGGGAGATTGAGGATACCATACGGGAGGCTCAACAACAGGAACCCGATCCTGGGGTGGGACCACCAGCTAGATGATATGTCCCCCAGGCTGCTAGGGCCCAGACCCTCGACTGGGCCCATGCCTCTCAGCTAGCATGCCATCCGGGGGTACAACGAACCATCACACTCCTGAAACGCTACTTCTGGTGGCCCACCCTAGAGAAAGACGCCAGGGAGTATGTAGCTGCCTGTGCTCCCTGTACGGAATCCAAGCCCCTCATCAATTCCCTGCAGGTCTTCTTTGGCCACTGACCACGCCTAGCTGGCCTTGGTCTCATATAGCCCCAGACTTCATCACTGCCTCCCAGGGCAACACTGTCATTCTCACTATCATTGACCGTTTTTCTAAAACCGCCCATTTTCTTGCTCTGCCTCACCTACCCACTGCACTTGACACCGCCCAGCTCCTGGTTCAGCACGTTTTTTGCATTCACGGCACCCCCACCACCATCATTTCTGACCACCGTCCACAATTCACCTCACATGTCTGGTCTGCTTTTTGCACTGCCATCGGAGCCCGTCCCTGTTATTCCTTTGGCCATCATCCCCAAACCAATGGCCAAGCTGAACAGTTACCCCAGGAGCTGGAAAATGCACTCCGCTGTGTAACCAGTTCCTCCCCTGAGGACTGGAGCCGGTTGTCGCCCTGGGTGGAATATGCCCATAACACTCTCTCTAGGTCCGCCACTGGTATCTCTCACTTCCAGGCATCCCTTGGTTATCAGCCTCCCCTTCTGTCCTCTACTGAAACCGATATTGCTGTCCCCTCAGTCCAAGCTCACATCTCCCATTGTCAGGCTGTCTGGGTTGAGACCAGGGCCGCCCTGCTACACACGGCCGAACATAATAAACGGCTTGCGGTTCGCCGCTGTCGGGCCGCTCCGACCTTCCAGGTTGGGCAACAGGTGTGGCTCTCCTCCGCCCACATACCTATCAAAGGGGCATGCCCCAAGCTATCACCTCGGTTCCTAGGGCCTTTTACCATCCAGGAAGTTATACATCCCACTGCCGTCAAACTCAAACTCCCAGCCTCCCTCCATATTCACCCTATTTTTCATGTTTCACAGATCAAGCCCATCTCCTCCAGTCCCATCTGTCCTCCACCGGCCCTTGAGGTGGAGGGTGGTCCGGCCTACACCGTCTGGCAGATCCTGATTGTCTGCCCTAGGGGCCAGGGTTTCCAATACCTGGTGGACTGGGAGGGTTATGGTCCAGAGGAGCAGTCCCAGATTCCCTGCTCCTTTATCCTTGATCCCAACCTCCTCACTGCCTTCTACCAAGCACACCTGGACAAGCCTGGGTGGCCCTGGT